TACAAACATAAGTCCAGATATACAAAGAACACTTTTTATAGCCAGACAGTGTAATTACATGATTATTTTGCGTACTTCAGTATGGATTTGTTGACATGGTATTTCCGGTGTTTCATGCTCACGGTAATGTCTTTCCATGGGGGAAAAAAACATCCAAACTCATAATTTGTGTATAATGCGCCCCCCTTCTACACATCTGTATTTTTTCGAAAAAAAGTGCGCACTATACTCAAGAAAATACGATATTTGAATACTTTTTTCATCTGTACTTAATTATTGACCATAAAAAAAATTGATATCGATTGTCACAGAGAGCAAAAAGGTGGTCAATCAAGATTCAATATACGATTAGCTACTGAAAACAACAAAATCTGCAAAACCTCATTGTATGTCAACTAAGTGAAAGTTGTTAGCCACGACATACAAAATGATCGTCCAGACTTTGAGGGTTTGGCAGATCCGCTCAACTAATCTGCATCGGTCGACTGGCTGTCGTCACGCTTTCGCTTCTTGTCTGAAGTTACGTATCATAGCATTTTTTAGGATAATTAGGTACATCGATGATGCAAGGTATTTATGTACAGTTGTAAACACCTTTCACTCAAATTAACGTTCTCAGTAATTAATCCTCGATTAATTAGTGTCAACTCAGTTTATTGCCTATTACAGTGATTGACCGCTTGGACTATCATGTAGGTACGATGTATTTACAGCAATCAAAAGAAATAAAGCTTGTCAGTGTAGATTATCTTCATTGTGTTACAACTGCAGACGGAAACGGCTCAGTCCTAACTGTTGATCAAGTCCGGTCAAAATTTAAGAATGTCCGGACAGAAAAATTTAAATATCCGGTAAGCAATATTTTAAACCGGACATTTGAGATTCCCAATCTGACATGTCCGGCGCATATGACGGTTTCCAGACCCCTGGGTTTGACATCTAATTCTATGCATGGCTTGGTGTTGTCTTCCCTGACATTGTATTCCCTGACAGAACATTGACTGTTGTATTGTCTTGTGTTGATTCCTTTTGGTCGAAAAACTTATGATTCTTCAGTGGACGTTTTCGTCGTTTTCCTGACATACTTCTTTTGAGGTGAAATTCTCTCCGAATGGAGTCTGGAATGCTGCTGCCATACTCCCATGTGTTTCCTCTTTCTGGATCCTTCCATTTCACTCTGTAGTAGATATACCGACAAAAATTTTCTCTGACGAGAACATCTGCTACTTCTTTGGCTTCTTGGGTCCGAAGTGGGAAGGCTTCACACCATCTAGATGATGCATCTGTGATGATCAAAATGTACTTGTACTTGTCTGGTGTTGTTGGCAGGGGACCGAGAATGTCAACGTGCCATCGGGTGAAGACCTCTTCTACAGGTAGTGGACGGAGTGGTGCCTTTTTGCCATGGTAGTGCCTCTTGGTCTGTTGACATACCTCACACGTCTGGACATAAGTAGCAAAATCGCTGAACATTTTGGGCCAGTAGTACTTAGGTCTCATGGTGTTGTGCATCCTTTCTTTCCCATGGTGGCAACCGCCAAACTCTGAGTCATGGTATGATTGCAGGACTTGACTCCTGAGGGTTCTTGGGACTGCCAGCTGTTTAATGAACTTGTCCGCATGGCCTTTCTGTCTTTGTGGAACGAATCGGTATAGGATGCCTTCATCAATTTCAAAAGTATTGGCTTCGATAAGAATCTTTTGACGATCCTTTTCATCTTGTGGAAGGATATCATCCTCAGTGTAGTCAAAGATTTGGATGAAATCTGGACAAATCCTTTGTAGATGACATATATTTGGATGTTCTTTTATACTTACTTCAACCCATGTGTCTTGAGTAACATCAGCATTTGTAGCATGTAATGCTGCAACAACATTAACTGGTACTGACTGATAATCCTCTTCATATTCAAAGGTGACTGACCAATGTGTTGTCTGTGTGTCTGATTCTAAGTGATTGACAATAGGCGTGCAAATATCCTCAGTCTGAGCTGTCTGTGTGATCTGTGTGGATGAGTGTGTGTTTGGAAAGATTGTGGTATTTCTAGTTAATTTGCTTTGTTGAGTTGAAGTAACTGAGAAGACTCTTTTCTCAGCATCTTCTTCTGTCTGATCATTACATTTAATATTTTCCCCATATTCCCTATGTAAGAGAGCATCCGCATTCCCATTGGCTTTGCCGCTGTGGTGAACAATGTCAAAAGTGTAGGTAGAAAGTTCCAAAGACCATCGCCCTAACCTACCTGTGGCACTTGGAAGAAGCCATTAGCAAGGTCTAAAGTTGAGAAGATCTTAGCTTGTGCATTGGCGATGTGATCAACAACATCATCAAAAACAGGAAGAGGCCATGACATTGGTAAAGTGACAGAATTTAACTTCCTGTAGTCACAAACAAATCTACATGAGCCGTCACGTTTCTTGACTAGGATAATTGGTGCTGAATACATAGAAGTAGACTCTTCGATCAAATCATACTTCAGAAAATGATCTATAAGTTCTTCAGTGACTTTTTGGAGATGAGGAGATTGGTGATATGGTGTACACTTAACGGGTGGGTGGTTGCCAGTGTCAATGATATGTTGGTGCATGTCAGTCTTTCCTAAATCTGCAAGACTTGAAAACATGTCACTATTTTGTCCCAAAAATCTAAGTAGTCTGTGTCGTTGGTCTGAAGTCAGTTGTGTATTGGTCAAATCAAATCCTAATTCTTGTGCAATTTTAACATAGTCCCTGGAGTCATTGTCTCTCTTCTTATTGTCAGTGTTTACAGTATTTATGAATGGTTGGTCAGAGTCTATTTCAAAAACAGTCTTTCACAATGTAACTAAATTTGCCTACAACTGTACCCTTGTCTAGAACCTTTTCTTCTTGGGAAGGATTCACAAGCCTAAATGTAGCTGTTTTGCTTTTTGCTTTAGAAAGAGTTCTACCACCTGCTACTTCCGAATGAGCAGTGAGGTAAGCAATGGGTTCAATGAGGATGAGGGAATCCTCTTTGGCCTCTGATAGTCTAACCTTGAAATGAATTTCACTCTGAGGGGAATGTTAATCTGATCTATTGTTTTTGCTAATCCACAAATCTCTTGCACTGAATTGGCTATGAAATTGATATATTGCCTATCTGTTGGTGTTAAATATAAAGGAATGACAGCTATAATCTATTACTGCATCATTGTCATCAAGGAAGTTTTCACCTAGTATCACTTCCTCTGGTAGTGTAGGCAGAACACAGAATCTTTGAGAAAATTCCTGATCCTCAATGACAAAATCTAACACAACTGAACCTAACACTTTATGCAATTCGCCACCAACACCTTTAACCTGTGGAAAGGGTGAGTTTCCAAGAGTAAGGTTTTCAAAAGCTGTGCTCAGAAAAGCAGACGAAATACAACAAATGGATGCCCCTGTATCTACTAAACAATTTGTTGTTGTTGTGCCAAATTTTGCCTGAATTACACTTTTGGCAAGGGGCGTAACTAAAGACACTGTTGGAATTTCACTTTCAAAGTTACTTTCCATTCCAGACTCCATATTTGCCATGACACCTATTAGTATGTACCGTACTAAATTAAAGAAAGACAGTAATCAACAATGTAATGCTGTACTTACAATATTTGAAGACTTTTTCTTCCTTTGTTGGTGTCTTTGGAGGAGTTGGTTGTCTTTAATCCAGTGTTGAGGTCAGAGGTGGATGCAGCTTGCTTGTTATTCTATCAGATGATCACGGTTGGACATGTCCTCCAATGGGTTCTTGTAGCTGGTCGTAGTTAGTTCCTGGGCTCCGTGGTTCCGAAAACGATGATTCTCCACCAAATTATTATGGACTGTTATGGGATGAACAAAACCTTCCAAATGGCGTCCTGGTTTTCTTGGGGGAATTAGTCAGCAAAGAGCCATTTACAAGAACATTTAACTATGAACAATTTACAAGCTGAGAGTGCCACAGAGAGTCGGTACAACCCTCTGGGCTGTGGGAGAGAGATCTGCTTGGTATGAGCGTCAAACCCCTTCTGCCTAACATTTTGCTACAGTATGTATTTAACAAAAATTAGAACAATAAAAAGGAATATGATTGGTTGATACACGATGGGTTGTGCCCTATGCTAAATGAATGGCTAGACAGAGGGGAATACTTAATCCTGTTAATGCTGTTGGACTGGCACTAATCTTGTTGACATATTTACTGGGTGCTTTGAAAGAGATTATGGCGTCACTATAGACAAGCTTGTATGGAGGCTAATCCTTTATGAGTCTAAATTGAAGTAATTGCTGAATGTTATTCTAATATAGGTGATGACAGATTTACTTAAATAAAATAGTTTAAGGTAATCTATAAGACTATGTAGATATATCTTTGGGATCTTGATACCTTAGGCTAGCATTTATCTAAAAGCTTCAAATCTATTAAACTATGTAGACATAACTCTTGTCTTATTGAATAGTATGTCTAGGAGATGCGCTCCAATTACCTTAGGCTAGCATCTATCTAAAAAGCTATAACTGAAACTACTGATATTTTTTTATATGCATTTTACCTGATGATAAGTATTACTTGCTAAACTATAATTATATGAAATGATGTATTAATATTACACCATGATAACTCATAAAAGCACTTGATGTGGATCTAATTATTATAGGAAAACTTAGTATAAATGTTATATCATGATACAACCCTTAAGTCCATCCGGGTTGCCTTCGTTTCGAAAATACCTCTTTTGACCACCTCACTAAATGGCCTGTGTGCGAAATACCCATACTGTCGGAAAGTACATGTTTAATCTCCAACAGTAAGTAAGTAATGTATGGGCTTTTGACCCATTTGTCAAATAAGGGCTTTTGTCTCAAAGAGATTTATACAAGGGGTCTTTTGTCCAAGGGTCTTTTGTCCAAGGGGCTTTTGTCCTAAGGGGATTATGTCAATGAGGGCTTTTGTCCTACAATCCTCTCAGGGCTTACAACATTAATGTAAAGTATCCTATCCATGTAGTATATCTCACCTTTCAGCATTTTCACTGCAACTGTCCTCTTCACAGAGTCCCTCTTATAGTCAGGTGACTCCAAATCAGCTTTCATCACTTTGCCAAATGCTCCCTCACCCAGTGTTTTAATGAAGTGTATTCGTGCTAGGTCAATTTCATAGCCATCACTTATCAATGTTGTCAGTTCCTCCTGGAAGCTTCCTGCACTCCCAACACTGCCATAGAGCGGGTTCAGTTCCTATGGACCATATTACCGTAAAGAGTAAGGCTATAGCTACTTTCAACAATACACATATAGCAGAATGTCATAAATCACCATCACGATGCAACAGAACAATAACACTCAGGAATGTCCATGCTACCCATGTTTTTGGGACCATAATCTTGTGGATAAAATATCTGTCTGGAGAGCAGAAATTTAAAGCCGTTGTCATACCAAAAGATGTCAAAAGTTAGTACATGTTGTTATGCTTACTGGTGCGTTTGAGCATTAAATATATCTTTAAATAGGCAGATCTTTTCTTCCAATAGAATGCCATAAATGAACAATATTTTCTGGTATGTTATTCAAAGAACTTTAAGTCCCTGTTATATTCTCGATGAGATATTGTTAAAGCAATATTCTACCATGAATTTGGAACATACTTTATTTTGATTGGACAGTCGGAGGTATCAAATCACAATAAACCCCCTCTGATTGAAACAGCCTATTTTGACAGCTGCACCACTTTAGAGGCTAATATTTTTGGAATAGTACTTCTTAACAGTCATTGTCAGTAGACATATCTAAATAATTATATGTTCATAAATAGGCTACAAACTGCAAAGTTGTGGTCTCTGCAAGGGCTGTGACATCATATCTTCTGCGTCACAATGAGCGATATGTCATAATAGGGGTCCCCACCACAGGTTAGCTTACAACATTGCCATCCTACATGCTTTCAGTGCCTGTCATAAATTTGAGTGAAGTATTACTGCATAAACAAACTCCTTGAGCATAGAGAGCACCATCATTTGTTAAAGGCTGTTAACAGTGAATCCGTAAATTCTGATCAATAACTCATTCAAAACACTGGAATCAAACCATGCCGCTTCACTCAATATATTCGCTAACACCAGAGGTTGCACGTTTTATAGTGTCATGGTAGAATGGAGATAAACATACTGTGTTGTCAATGTAGAGCTAGGTTCCTTGTAGATTACATGGTGTTAAATTTAACATTTGAAACCTCATGCTGCATGTTCAGTTCCAAATTCAATTTAGCATGCTTAAATCTACAGGTAACCTTGCTCTACATTGAAAACACAGTATGTTTATCTCCTAATTGAAAATAATGTTGAATTAGGGAAGAAAAAAACTTAGTAGTATAGGTAATGGGGGTTCTGGCTCACTTCCACTGGAGCCGGATTCATATACCTATACTGCTACTACAGATGGAATTTTTTATGCCAAAATGATGATGCGATTCAACGATAGTCATGAGATTGGCTCTAGCTCACCAATACCTGGGGCCAATCAATGCTTTAGATGAGTCTAAATGGTAATAAAAATATTCTTTATTATTTTTATCGATAAAGCGATATTCAACATTTTTATTAAGTTCTTCGTTCATTTTACTAGGAGACCAGACTATATAACTACACTCTTTTTGTAAATTGATAAGAAACAATTGATAACCATATTTGGTTGGTTTGGCATCACTGATATAATAAAAACCTTGTGGTAATTCTTTCCATTGAATAGCTTTCTCCATTATTATATATTTATGTTAGCATTTGTCTAAATGTAATCACACGATAGTAAGCAATCTATTTTTAATCTCCAACCAGTTCTTTGGTTTTGGCACGGAATAATTGACGCGCTTGTTGCCTCCCCTGTTCTATGAACTTTTTTTTCTCGTCTTCGCTAAAAACCACTGGTCTTACGAGATTTTGATCGAATCTCCTGCTTCATTTTATTGTATTTGTTGAGCTCCGACAGCACTAAACGAAACTCATCCTCGGATATCTTACAATCAGCCATTGCTGTCAAAATATGATCCTCAATGCTGTTCAACTTTGCTTCGGCGAGTATCCGAATACTATCGTGTTTTAATGCTTTCTTTTGTAACCTACGAGAAATGAATTTTATCGCTATTCCTGCCAGTCCCGAGACTCCAGCGGTTATTTCCATGCCGAGCACGATAGGCGCGGCGATTATAGTTGATAGTAAACCGATACCCGCTACACCGAGTCCCATGCCAGATACTACAAGAGCGGTGTCAACTCCGTCCAGAGCATTCACGGCTCTGCGATACTTTTTATACAATCTAAGTCTCAACTCCCTATCCTTCCCTATTCGATGTTTTATGTCGCTTATTTGATGTAATCGAAATCCATCAACGGTATCCATCTTTTCAAATGCTTCACTGAGCGTCGGATATAAACTCATAGTGTATATAACGATCATATAATAGTCTTTAATTGGTCTTGCTTAAATGTTTTGAGACTATACATCAACCTTATCAAATGTATATTATACGGCAAGAATATCTTAGTAAGAGAAATACTGTCACTTTTAATAATTTGGACCCCCTCGAGGGTTGCAACGGGCGATGCTCCGATATGAATAATACTGCAACGTTGACGTTGGTGTTTCTTTAGCCATTTAATCGATAGACCTGGTAATATATCGAAGGCATCTTCCGGTGCATCTCCGAACAAGACTTCAATAATAAGCGTAGAAAGATTAGGTATTGCACTCAGGTTAACTTTAATATCTTCGAATTCAGTAACCAAATTTAAAGTAACATTTTTTAAGGCCGGACGACTATATAACATATGACCTGGGTTTTCTGGCAGGGGGGTGACCAACACACTTTTTCGTTTTGACGGGATATAAGCCGCGAGTACGATGCACCTATTTATTATCTTAGTTAAATTATGTCCCTTACCCATCATCACATAAGGTGGGGTAATGACGATATTCAGTAGCCACTCGATGTTTGCTTCGATCATAGTCCATTTATTATCGTCGTTGCGAGTAATATTGTACGAAGTGTTTTTAAGGAGTCTACTAACATCGACATCGCTTAAATCTCCTAGATTACCCGTGAATGTAACTTCTTTCCGATTGTATACATTATCGTGTAAGTGTAAAGCGTATAACTTACCATCGGTACCGGGTTTACCAAATCCTTCTGTGTCTCCGAGATCGGAAAGCGCAATTGTATTACATTGTCTTACTGTTCCAGGGCCTGATGCATCAACCATTATTTTTAATATTGAGTGTTACACTTAAGTATCCTATATGTACAGGTTGGTGTTTTACATCTAATATAGAAATTTTGAGGTCTGAAATAATACCACGCTTCAATTTTTTATATTGTAATGACGAGAAAGATTCCGTTCTACCGCTATTATATTTTTCATTTTTCACTGGAATAGATCTGAGTAGAGTTGAAGGACTTTCTAGTTGAATATTATTTGTCGTGCTTATTTGATCAAGATGGATGAACAACTCTTTATAGGGAACTAAATCGGGTAATTTAATATAAGGATGTGCACCATCTAAGCGACTAAATTCCTCTCTACCTGGTTGGCCCAATACAATTATATCATCTGAATGGTTGTATTTCACTGTCCCAGTCGCCTCATTTTGTGAGAGACTAACTCCATTAGGCTTTAAAATTTCATCATTGAGTGAGCTTACACTGTAATACCCATCAGGTATAGTAATGTATTTGACAGTACCAAGTACGGATAATATATTTATCCTATTATTATTTTTTGCAGCATTTATATTGGTCTTCCTCGGGTAATACGTTACATCGCATAGGGCGACTTCGAGTTGTCCATCCGAGTTATCGATAGTACGAAGCAGTTGAATAGACTGACCATTTGTTATTCCCAGGAGTGTAACATACATATCAAATATACAATGATACTATATCATAACTTAAATATGGAATCAACCATTATTTTTAATATGGAGTGTTACACTTAAGTATCCTATATGTACAGGTTGGTGTTTTACATCTAATACAAAAATTTTGAGGTCTGAAATAATACCCCGCTTTAATTTTTTATATTGTAATGTTGAGAAAGATTCCGTTCTACCGCTATTGTATTTTTCATCTTTAACTGGAACACATCTGAGTAGAGTTGAAGGACTTTCTTGTTGAATATTATCCGTCGTACTGATCTGATCAAGATGGATGCACAACTCTTTATAGGGAACTAAATCGGGTAATGCATATACAGTCACTGTTTTTTTGGGTGGTAATAATGCTGACTGTTCAAGTCCAAGTGTAATTGCTAAGTACTCGTAAATAATTACACCTTTTTCTCCAGTGTATATTTTCACTGTCCCATTCGACTCATTTTGTGTGATACTCAATCCATTAGACTTAAAAAATTCATCACTGAGTGAGCATACGCTGTAATACCCATCAGGTATAATGAGTTCTCTGTCAATACCATTGTTTTCACCTGGTATACTCATCTTATTATTATTTTTTATAGCATTTATATTGGTCCACAGTGGGTAATACGTTACATCGCATAGAGCTACTTCGAGTTGTCCATCCGAGTTATCGATAGTATGAAGCAGTTCAATAGACTGACCATTTGTTATTCCCGGGAGTGTAACATACATATTAAATATACAATGATACTATATCATAACTTAAATATGAAATCGAGATACATTACTAATCAATCGATTATAGTAACTGCCTCTGGTGCTGAATTTTTCGTTAAATTCCCCGATATCTTTGAAAAGTACAGGGTCACGGCAACTAGCGATAAAATGGTGCACGATTGGTTTCACAATCCGATGCAATTTTGGCAGAATCAGTTAAACTTTGCCATATGGTGTGCCACAACGGGATGTGGTGTATCTGTTAATGCCCCAGGATTTATGCTAAATAAGTCTGTTTTATTATTTCACGTGTATTATCAGATTAGACGTATACTTAAAGAAATTAATGCTCCATTACCGCAGGATCGAGCGTGGAATTCCACAAATAATAATTATGATAGGTCCGCATATGAGCGTATTTGTCAGGAATTTAATATTTCTACGAGTAAAGATTGGCGCATTAAAGGAGCAAACCATGGTCTAGGTGTTCCGTACAGCGGACAAAGAACTGTTAAAGAAGTCAGCGATGATTTAGTTAAAAAAACTAATCAACCATTCGATCCATTTAAATTCTTACAGATAGACAATCTTTTTGTAAGATTGCATAATCTTAATCA